AGTTTCGTAACACACAAGGTCAAATGTCGTAATTCGTGGGCCTAAACTAAATTAGTTTAATTTGTTTTTTTTTTTAACTCACCAGGGAAAACGCCATAATGTGTACTGACAGCCTATGAGAAATGTCACAATAACAACCGTTGCCTGCAATAAAAGGTCATACTTATGAAGTCTGCTAACCAGCTAATTAGTCTCAATTTAGTGAACGTGTGCTCTGCGAATGACTGTGGCTCGAGGACCTCAGTCTGTTCACGTGCTCCACATCAAAGGGAGACCGCAAAACAGTCACGTGTCAATGTAGATTTTAATTTGAAAAGACTTTTTAAAAATTATTTAACAAAAATTAGTTAATTTCCTGCCCAATGCATTCTTGGATATGCCCTACAGTATTTAAAACAAATTATATAAAATACTGTACTAATACTGCAGGTATACTTTTTCTTGACTATATTATTCTTAAAAATATATTATTAAAACATTATTCTTGCTAGTCTGATAGTAAGACTGTATTTTTATTCATTTGTATCCATGAAAAATGTGTTCAGAGGTCTGCAAACAAATTTGTGTCTCACTATTATGATTCCTAACTGATTCATTTCAGTACAGGGAATTTTGAGGTGTATCACTGGTCTGCAGCATGTTTTTAAACCTTTATTTATTCAGAAAGTTTCACTGGGCTAAGATTGATCATAGCAATCACTTGTTGTTTGGATATACCAAAGCAACATATGAATAGTAGTTGTTGTAATGAGACTTAGAAGCCTTGACCATGCTTGTCTTTTTTAATCAGTTGCCGCAGAGGATAAAAGTGACTTATAATAAATAATATGAACATAAATAAGTACAAAGAAACAGAGCCTACATAAAATAAGATAAAGTATAACATTTAAAGTAATGGAAAAGCTTTACCTTAATGATATCTGCTGCTCATCCTCTTAAACAGCTTGATACAGTACCTCTGTACCGTGGTTTCATTACAGATGATAAATATTGTATTCTTTGTTATGAGGGTGCCTCCGAATATCACATCCTTCTCAAAGTTAAAATTGAATAGTGAACTTTGAAGTCCCATAAATGATTATGATTGTTTCTGATGCTGTTTGTTTGTGTGTCTCTGTGCTCATATTTCTTCTGCTGTACTCAGGTCTTTCTTGCACGACAGATCTTATTATCTATGAGACAATCCGATTAAATAAAATCAGACTGGATGCTTCCCAGTACAACCTCAGTCTGATCTGTTTGCCACTGAGTGACTCCACTGGAGCAGTTGGAGGTTCAGGACTTTACTTTGCTCTCTAACCTTTGTTCTGTGCACATATCTAAAGTTCTACAGACAGAGAAAGCTCCTACATCAAATCTTAGAAGCATATGTCAAAAACAACCCTTTTCATCCTCATGAAGTAGAAAATGGAAGTTTCATTATCTGAAGGAAAAGTGAGCATTGACCTGCCCTGTATTTGGATCACATGCTGGCCACTTTCAAGTGAACAACAATTACAGTAAAGCAGTCACTGGCAAACAGGTTTTTAGATCTCAGGCTCCCTAACAATGTACAGATAATACAGGCAAACAGACACATGTGCACAGAAAAAAGTCATTTAGGTCAAATCTAATTAGATTCTATGACATAAAATAGTGCAGAAGCCAAAATATAGGAATAAATCCTAATAATATAAAATAATATTACTACTGTGATAGATGGTTATACAGTAACAGTACAATGTATTAACTGTATGTATGTAAATAGGTTGTGCAGTAATGTAGTACATGTATATACATAATGACAACAGGTGGTAGACAGGTATGTACATAAATATAAATACTGTGATGTAAACAGTAAGTAATCTGTGAAACCATTGCAGTATATTATGAATGCACAGTACCAGTAAATAAGTGAGGCAGTAGTATAAAGTAGTATAAAGTGCAAATGTATCAATACCATCCACATAAAGTGACACAGTTTTCAAAAGTGATCCTGTTGACAATAATCCTCCATGGATGGCAGCTCGGTCTGGTGATGTGCTGAGCAGTTTTACCCACCAGTGCAGTCTTGCTGTGCAGTTTTCAGGCCCAGAACTGGTCACAACAAGGTCATTCCTGTTTCCAGGTGTGTGAATCTCTCATTTTGACTCTCCCTACTGCATCTGCTGCTTTAGGACCCCCCACGCTTTGTAAATCCTTCAACTGCTGCTGCATAAAACTAGTATATTAATAGAATAGAATACAACTTTATTGTCTTAAGCTCACCAAAACATAAAACAACATATAACTCTGTCATCAGTGTATAAATGTGTGTGAATGGGTGATTGTGACCTGTAGTGTAAAATGCTTTGAGTGGTAGGTGGTTTGAAAGGTGCTATGTGTGCAGTGCATATACCATGTATAAATAAAACACATGCAACAAAGCATGAAACCTTAACATTTGCATATTAAACTGATGTTTCTATCCCCGATAACAATATAGTTCATGCAGTTATGGTTACAGTTCACTGTTAGTCATGAGATTATGATGAAAAGCTTCCACTTCATGTTGAAGTTCAAAGATGCTCCAGGGTTCAGATGGTGAGGGGTTTTCCATTCACAAAAAGGTGACCTATTGAAAAAACATGGGGTTGATTTCAGATTAAAAGATATTTACACACAGTAGATACTCACAACAGCAGTGTAGGTAAAATGTGAGAAGATTTAAATTGCCTATACCTTTGTGCTTCAAGTGGAACTGACACTTGATAAAAAAAGGCTTTGTGAGAATGTAATCAGAGGCAAGAGCTGTCACCTAACTTAATTTAAGACTGGGTAAGATGGAAAGTTATTGAGCCGCGTGGGAAATAAAGTCTATGCAAGCAGCAGAAGAATTAGTTCAGCGAGGGCAAAGAATAATAGAACACAAGCACACAAATAAAGTACACCAAATTAGCAATAAATGCAGTTATAGATTAGAGACTTTTGTAGTTTGATTTGATTCCTATTCACACAGGGTTGGTTGGAAAACTGTAACTATGGCATATGAAATATGGTATATGGCTTTAGATTCGATAATTAGCTTGATGAATTAAAATTATGTGCTATAAAAATATAAAACAGAATATATTTGTGGATGAGCTCATTTGATTACAATTTGAGGACTTGTGTTATACAGTTTGATAATATGTTAAAATTATTATTTAATCTAAAGGAGAGTCCTGATGTTTCTGAGAGCACAGCTGAAAAAAAAACCTTTATCTGCAATTGATGCCCTTATTTTCGTCATCTTGCTCTCTCCATCTCGTCGTGTGGATGTTGGGCCAGTAGAGGGCGACAAAGTCCTGTATTAAAATAAATTCCATGCTATTTGATTGAGTTTCCTGTTGTTTTATTGCTGAACCAAAGGAAGATTTTTCCTTCTTATATTCTACATATTCAAACACATTTGTTAGCATTATTTAAAAACGTTGTGGCTCAGATACAGTGTTGTTTTATTTTATTGTAACAACATAAAGCAATTCTGATTAGTTTACAATTTGTTTACACAAGAAGCAGTAATGTACATCTACGTACACATACTGTACAATATTTGTTTGAAATATGAGAATGTGTGAAATTAATTAAATATAAAGGTTTTTTTCTCCCACATTTCTCTGAAAGATAAGGGCAAACGATAATCATAACTGCATTTTCATTTCAAGAGTTTACAAAATATGGATGCTTAAGGTTTTATTGCATATTACATTATGAAATACAGCTTGTGCCTGAAAGATAAAAACAGCAGAGAAAAGCAAATGTTCTGCCTTCCAATCTGCAGAATCCCCATCTTCACACTCCGTATTGATTTCATGTCAATCCAAATATTCTGAGAGAAAGTGATGTTAAATGACCCGTTTTTCCGTGAAGGGCAAGTGGCTGATAAAAACATTTTCTTCCTCTGAAGTGTTGTTCGTTTGGTTTTATCTCTCTAGATTTGAATGATCAGTTCTCTATAAGACAACATCAATTGATGCATTAATAAATCCCCTTAAGGCTGCAACAAATTATTATTTTCATTATCCATTAATCTAAATTTTTGAGATTTAGTTTGCCAAATAAAAAAAAATTGTGAAAATGTCCATCGGTTTCTGAGAGCTTGTGGAGATGCCTTTAAATGTCTTTTGTCTGACCTACAATCTAAAACCCCAAATATACTCAGTTTACAATAATAAAAGCAAAATCACATTTAAGAAACTGATACATTTGACAGTTTTGCTAGATAAACTTAATCAAAATCAGCCAATTGGACATTAGTGCACTAGTTACCTTTGTTCTCAAATCTTTATTTTTGATAAAACGGTCAAAAACTAGATATATGGAATTTAAATACATTTCAACCCACAATACCATAATAAAGAAACATGGCGCTTCAATGGTTAGTACTGTCACCTCACAAGAAGGTCCTGGGTTTGATGGCTGGGGTAGGGCCTTTCTGTGTGGAGTTTACATATTGCACTGCCTTGGAGTTGGTCTTGGGCACCGCTTCTATCTTCTATATGTTGCGCTTTATGTGATTGTATATGTGACAATGAAGCTTATTCTATACTATAAAGCTTTAACTCACAGCTATGATTCAGTGGACGCTGATCTAACGCTCTACTATAAGTCAGAAACTTCAGATGCAATATCAGTCCTGTATATAACAACTTAATTGGCACATTATGGACAAATGTTTACAGTTAACCAGCAGCACTGCCACCATTACAATTAAGCAGCTGGTCATATTGAGAACAGTCACTTAAGAGTCCCTCGAGGAGCCGTCATGGTTGGTTGAGCAGCATCTTACCAGCTTATGAGGGCAGAGTGTGGAGGTCAGCTCCACGCATGATTCAAAGAGACACTAATGCAATGGTGCATTACAAATGAAAAGTTGGCATGAATTATTGATGTCAACATCTGATGTTGAGAGTTCAATTTTTGGAGTTAGCATCCAGTGTCAGAGCCTTTGTTAGCTTTGATTGGCCGCAGTGATAAAATGACAGATGCTCAAACACAAATGCATTCACTTCTTTTATTCATAAGATGGGAATATTTTTTACATCTTATGCACAGCAGATACAAAGACAAACATGTTCTAAACCACAAACTAAATTCCTCCATCGCTCTAATCCTGCTTCCCATTTCAAAATGGCCCCCCCAAAAAAAGCAACCCTTTACGTTTGTAGTCCAGTTTCACATTCTGAAAGATCGTTTTACAGCAATCTCATGTTAGCAGAATGGCACAAGCCACGTTCAGAATACCATTTTTTGACAGATACCCACTTCCGCTTTAAACAAATTGCACTTTTTTCCTCTTTAAAACTACGTCAACAGGATTATAGGATCAAAAGTAACACCAAAAACACAAGAGACGACTAAACATCCAACTTATACAGGTTCATTATTTAGTTGCACAAAAATGCATAAATATACATTACGCAAAAAGTACAAAAATATTTGTACTTTCCTTTGCTCAAATAATGACAGACATTGATATGATCATAGGGACTGGGGTTGTCATAGAACGTAGGGATGCATTCACAAGGTCCATGCGAGATAAGCCATTTACACAACAGCCTAGCTTTCACAGAGGTAAGACCAAGGTTCTACGGTAAAACAAAACATTTCGCTGTCTAGGCCAAGGTAAAGAGGCAACACAAACACTAAGAAAATTAGGATACACAGAACTCTGCGTTCTAAATTCATGCCAAAAAGACTAACATGCAATGACTCTTAACGCTTCTAAACCTCCCAGGAGCAGCGGTAAACCCATAGAAGGACTAGCTTAACAACGGTAACTTCAATTCGTCAATTTTCCTCTGCAATTATGATCCATGGAGTTTGACTAGGCTTTGCATGAGTTTTTTTTTTGAAGTGCTAAGATGGTACCGCAATAGTTGCCAAGGATAAGCTCAGATTGTCGACAGCAAGATGGTTTCAACTCACACTCCCCCCAGAGACAATCGGGAGGAGATATAAATACTGTTTGTTTATAGTAATGCACATTTGTCCATTAAATAAACCTGATTAAATTAATGAAGAGCTTGGCAAACCTCACTTCAGCTGGACAAAGGTGTGGTTTCCAGAGGCCTGAAGAAAAAAGGAACAGTTAGCTTCATTCAAAAATAAAACTTGGAAAATAAGTTATTCTTATTCTATAGTCTGTCAACACTTTAGTGTGTTAGTCTCTCTCAATTGATGGACTTCCCTAGCCTGTCAGCAGCTTTTAGTCCCAAGCCAGTTTGTTCCTTTTGAAGACAAATCACAAGAACAGGCCACAATTACATAGTTTCAGAAGTAAATAGCAAGTTTATTGGGGACCATTTCCAGCTGTGGATTAATACACATTTGGTGTGCTAGTAAAGTATTTCATTGCATTTATGTTTTTAGAAGGAACACACTGGCTTGAGGCAGAGTGCCACAGACCGGCTGGGAAAGTCACAAAGTACTAAAAGATCAACACACTGTTTGTTTTTATCTTTTCATTGGATTATACAATAAAAGATCCAGCCTCAACCTTTAACACTTAATCAGTTGTGGGGCATTTTCATTATGTTGACACATTCTGCAGTTTTCAGTTTGCATGATATCAGGGTAGCAGAAGACAGTGGGTGAGGGTGGTTGGCAAATCTAAAAACACACTGTTGGACCAAAGGTTACTCACTAAATATCTAACAAAACTGCCGGGACTTCCATCCAGGCTGGGAAGTCTCAGAGGGTGTAGGGTACCAGCGCATCTAAAGAAACACAAACAGTCATATACACCAGACCAAAACCAGGCTTCAGTCCTTGAAATCATCTGCAGATTTCATCCATTAACACACTTTGAAAATACAAAACAGGTTTAGGAGGACTGTCCCTTTAAGCCCTGGTCACTGAAGCCAAGGGAATGTGGGTCACGTAGCTGCTCATTGAAGACAATAGTCCTCGAGTAATTAACAGGCATGGAAATGTGGAGCGTTGAATCTCAGTGTGTTAAACATTTCCACAGTGAGAGCTGGTATGCCCGTACCTTTTCCACACCTGTTACGAAAACCTGTGGCAGAATGAGGCCTCACATTGAATTAAACAGGACAGAGGCCACGACTGCAGGCCCTAACAGCTTAATATACTCAGGAGGTTATCAACAGTTGTTTAGAGACTCTTGAGGTTACATTGCTGTGTCAAACCAACAAGGCAGAGAGTCAGTGGGAAGAGAACTTTGAGCATTTTAGGGATCTCTCATCAGATTGCAATTAAAAAGGCTTTTGCCCCCTTTGTGTGGCTACAGTCAGCTTATGTTCCAACAGGAACGTGGACAGTAAGTTGGCACCTCCAGAGAAGGCCATCAGGTCTGACAATTTCGCCAAGCAAATACCTTACATTCCTCTGCCCCTTGTGCCCGACAAAATGGCCTATGTAATAGCTGCCTACTTTGCAGTGTAGCACTCCCCTGTGCTCCAAATTGCAGGAGGAAGTTGGATCACAATGAACTTTAAATGACCCAACAAGAGAAATATTTTCCATTGCTATTGTTACCAAAAGCCCTGCCCACTGCACTAGTGTTGTACCATTTGGACTGCCATTAGCTTACAATGTAAACATTTTGTACACCCATTCTCCTCCATCTTGTTTGATCACATTTTCAGATGACATGGACATGAATATTTGTAAACCAGATCTAATTTAAAAAAAAATTGATTTCAGACTGAAACCCTGACAGCGTGAAGCTACAGCCTAAATGCAAACTAGCACAGAATCTTAGTTGGTATCAGACTCCATCTTAAGGCTCAAATTTGTGGGTTTTTTTTAATGATTAGTTGAAGCTGCAGACCAAAACATAGATATTTTATCAGTAAGAGAAGCTTTTATCCTTCTGCGCACTGACAAGACGGTGACGCATGGAGCTCCATTAAAGTAAAGATTTATACCTTCATGTCTGAGACTCATCCACAAAAAGGAAGCGATGAGCCAAAAACAGCCAGATGACAACCACAAAGAGGGATTTAAGGCAAGTGTATTGTAAGGTTATACTACATCAAAGAATGTACACAATGTACTGCCATCACTTCCACTGATGGCAGTGCAGGAGTCGAGACAGTTTCCATTTCAAAATGACAAATCTTTTTATTACAATATAACTCATGGTTTTAAATTCCATTCAGCCCCGTTTTGAAGTTTGAAATTGCAGTGGTGTGTCTTTAATCATCTCCCGAGTTTTAGGATTAAACTTTATTTCCCTCAATAAGCAACTTCTTTGTAGCTGTGATGGACTAACTGAGCAACGTGAAAACATGCATTTTATGGCAGCAGTGCATGATACAAATGCAGGCCTTTATTTTATGCATCTATAAAAAGGCTCCCTCTATTGTCAGCTGAGTGTGTACTAGAGAAAAGTGTACTAGAAAAAAAGAAAACACACACCGGTTGGTCCCTCACCTGGGCGTGGAGGGCTGCAGCCGCAGCAGCGGCTGCTGGGTAAGTAAAGGCTGCGTGAGGGAGGCCTGGGGTCAGCTCCGTGGTGTACAGGGGGTAAGGAGTCCAGGCATCCGGAGATGCTGGGATCAGTGCTGCCCCTGTCAGATCATCTGGGGAAGTACAGGGTGGGAGGAAACAAAAGGCTGACTGACCAACCCTTGAACATATGGGATCATGCAAGCAATCAGTACACAAACTTTAAATAAGGAAGAAAATGTGTAATCAATACATGCTGCAAAAAGAGTTTCTTACTGCTTTGTGTCATTATGTGGCTTTTTGGTTTACTATTGACCAGCGATTAAACATAGTAATATCTTTTACTGTCACTAAAATATTATCTTTAAAACTACAAAAAAAAAAAAAAA